TGATCATCTCCACTCCAATTTGACTTCATTCTAACGACTGTCATGTTTAAAAAAGGCAGGTATCTTGTGCCACTTCACCTATTATTTTAGTCATGTCTTAGCATAGCATCACAGTAAGTCAATTCCGAGTCATCTCCAGCATCGAAAATGAATCACCCACTAGTGATGATTTATGCCAACGTGCAAGGCACGACTCTCGTTATCACTCGCGCCAGTTATCATTCTCGTGGTAGGCAACTAATAATATATACACACATACATTCAGCAGAATGATTCTTTAAGAAGACATGACGATAATGTTAGGTATGTCATTCAAATCTAGTTCTTTTAATTGTCATATGTAAGTAGGGGTTCGAGAGTACCAGAAAATTATATATATATATATATACATGAGATATGTTCACCTAAAACGAAGTAAGGTGAGCACATCTCATAGTTCCTTTGTGTCTATCTGCTAACTAAAAAAATAAAAATTTAACCAAGATAATATAAAATGCAGCTGAAGGAAAGGATATATAATCTTGAATGTAATTTCTGAGGGACTATACCAATTTTATTCCCTGAAAATAACAACGAAAAAAGTAAAAACGATTAGTTACAGAATGTTCAAAATAAATTTAGATGAAAGATGGAAAAATTCATGGCTTGCTAAAATGAACGTACACAAGACTTCTTCTGCTAGTCTTGGCCGGCTAGTGACGGCAAGCAGGAGGAGTAGCTTGGCAGAGACAGGACATGCGAATGCAATCAAGCGTTGCATCAGCAAACCTCCCAAGCCTCGCGACCATTCAAGATGTCCGTCTGACCCGGCATCGCACCAGTCTCTGCCGATTGCTAAAGAGGTGAAGGTCTTGAAGCAAGGTTGGCGGCCGTCAGAGGGCCAAGGGGAGACAGGCGAGGGAGGAAAGCAGATAGTTGAAAGACGAGAATGAGGTGGGGTCGGATCCTGAGTAGCCAAGCCTACGGTCTTAGGAAGATTCATGGCAGAAGTGAAAGGAGTAGCTGTCTCAGGAAGCCAAGGGACAGAGAGTGCCGTGAGATGTGGATTATCAGAGCGATCAGCAAGCAAAGAGGCTGCTCGAAGAAGACCCTCACAGCCAGAGCTAGGTCCATAGTGGAATCGAAAGGAAGGGGCTGATCGGACTGATTGACCAAGGGAGGATATTTCAAACCCACTACGAACCATGGGTGGAGAAAAAAGAATTAAAGACAAAAATCAATAATTCACAAGCAGGTCAGTAAACCTCAATAAACAATCACAGCTCTGGATGAGTAGAAATAAAGCTTATTGGAATGAGCGAAAGAAATAAGCAATCTAAACGATATAAATATATAAATATACATGCCCCAAAGTAGAAATAAAGTAAACTTATCTAAAATAGACAAATAAAGCGGAAAATCAACTTCGAATGAGAATAATACAAGTCCTATGGGTAAGCAGATTGAATATACATAGGAGATAATAAAAGCTATCGGTAGATAGTAGACAGGAATCTGGATTCAACCATAAACATAATTTCAGAAAGAGGCCAGGCTTAGGTTAAAAGTCCAATAATACCTATGACTCATTGGCATCCGTGGCTGGTTTATAATCAAATTTGTTGTGCTGATTAAATCGTGGCGGGAATGATACTGCAGTCCATCCTATATTAAAAAGCCTATAATTACTTCATTGTAAGAAATTCAATTATCAGCTATTATATCATCTTTAAACGATCCATGTTGGCGCGATTTCTCAGACGAATAGTAGACAAGAAATGCTCCTTTGATAAACAGGCTTTATAAGTAACAGCTCAAAACTAGAAAAATACTCGAGATAATAGAATAAATGAATAAATAGATGTAAGACATTTTAAAACTATTATTCTCGAATCTTCCTGTCAATACGACCAAGTCGCAAAACCAGGTTAAGTCAGTACTATAAGTAAGTTTCTTTAATAAGAAGTTAATGAATCTAGGTCGTTTAAGGTCGAAATTCTTAGTATAAAAATATGATTTAGGAGAGGTCTGGCCTGTCTTGTACTTCAGGTCGGCCCAGTGACCGACTGATATCTGCAGCTGTGTAATGGAGTAGAAATATTGCCAAATTATTCATGAGCTGGTATCAAATCCTGCTAGGGCTACTTATTAAACCTAAGTGATTTCAAAGCTGCAGACAAGCACAATCTAGCCTGGATGAAAAATACCTTTGAGGGACATTGATAAGTGAAATTCAATAACATCCTGGGACTTATTTATCATATTGTATGAAAACTCAATTAGCATTCTTTACATCATCTTAAGTGGCCTATGGTGATTAAGTCCTCATTCAATAATTACTGATAGTATAAAAATATACTTAAACAGAAAATAAAATGAAATCGAAACTGTAGTCTACAAGACATCAAAACCTGTTTTTTAATGAAAAATATAGTTGAATACATAAGCGAAAACAAATTTTCTCCCAATTGTTTTGATAAATACCAATTAATAATGCACTACGTAAGGTGGAAAAAAAGGATTTTATTAATAACTTATTAAGGTTTTAAATGAACAAGTCAGCATGGTGCACTTCAGCAGCAAGCAAAAGATTGTCGCGGTTAATGAATCATCAATGAACACTATTCAGTATCACAAGCACAATCGAGTCCTAACGAAGCCAAGCAATGCTTGTGACACTTTGACTCATACATAAGTCATCCTCAAATACTACATACCGGTATACGAAGAGCACTCATACACATGTGATAAAGATATTATCCGATGGAACCTCTACAAACTGAATCAAATAAACCCTTAATTAAAATGCAAAAATCGTTTTGTTAATTTTGCAATGCATAACAAAATAATACGTGATATTTCATTGAAATATTTTAAGTTGCATGCTAAGATTTGCTGAATAAATATTGATTCGTTTGGATTTTATGCAAGATATAAACTTAAAATGAGATGAAATAGCACGAAAAATAGCTGAAGAATTATAATTCTATTCTATTCACAAATAATTTTAATGATAAAATCATTAATGAGGAATGCGAATGATGAGCACAAGAATATGATGATGCAATAGGAACAGGAATAATAAAACAGATGATATAGAAAATGGTATATTTTTAAGAAACCCAGCTTTTCTTCATATAAATTTTTAACAGTTTTAATGATGATTTCTGAGCAGTAAAAGTTATCAGGTCAATCAATGCATATGAGGGGCCATTTAATACTAGAACTGCTGTAAGCATAGACAGCAAGCACTTTAAGATTAAATCTCCTACTAGAATGTTCTTTCCACAAATATGAAGAATAGGGCTTAACAAAACCGCCTGCCAAAGTTGTCTACTAATGTAGAACAGACTTACTGAATAAGTAGATGAGCAAATAGGATTGATGAAAAGGATTAATTATCAGTGCCAAGCAAATAATGAATGTCGATCACATCAATATTATTATTACTAACGACCTACCTGTAAACCATTTGAAAAGCCCTGGCTGTAATTGCCTGCAATATCTGACCACTGATTGAATGGAGAAGATGGCTAATGTAAGAGCTCTGCCTGAGAGTGCTAGCACGATCAGGAAGATCTGTGCTTGGGTAAATAGCAGAATATTCCAGTCCAGAATAAAAGGAAAGCAGAACGTTTAAGGCTGGAGCGAAGGAAATATCTGAAGAAAAAGTAAGATAACATAACATGATGTTTAATAAGAATGTTACTCTTTCGATAGGTTATGCAAAATGTATTTAGCTAAGCAGTATAGGAATCAAAAGCCAAAGCCATCTAAACATTATCGAGGAGCCACCAATCGACAACAATGGAAAAAAAACGAGAAACAAACCTCTTTGATGAACTTATCCCGATCAGGTCTTTAGATCGTGTATTATAATGTGCAATCAAAACCATGAAGGTTTTGAGTCCACAAGCAAATGAGATATAGGAAGGATAAATATTATTAACGTGAATTGAGAGGAAAATGTCCCCATACCTATTTTCAAATAATGAAGAATTATTTTGACGTAAAGTTGACTCAGTTTAGACTAGAAAGAAAATATGATACCTAATGTTGATCACTTTCTTTGTACTTAAGTTTATTATGACATATTCACACTCACAAGATTATGAGACTTGGTGTGGCTTTCGCTTATCATGACATAATGCAAAAAAATAAATGTACACTTGTGTGCGTGCACATACTTGCAAGTTTATGCGAATATGTTACAGCAGATTTGTGCAGAATCAACATGAAAATAATATAAAATAGAGTATATATGTAAACTTTTATTCGTTTATGCGAGGCTCCTAAAGGAGCAAATAATCCAACAGGCTACAATTAAGACTATTTACAAATGTGCTACATATATGTAAATCAAGCCACTAAAATAGGAAACATTATGTTCAGGGCAAAACAATCATTATATTTAGATGTACAGAAGTGCGAATGACTATATAAAAACAGATAAAACTCACATTATTAGACAGAAATTTCCTTTAAATTAATTTACTATGGAAATAAATTTTTGGTTTCGAAATGAACAATGCGATACTGAAAAGTATGAACGAAAAAGTTATAAAAATATGCTTCCTTTTGATGCGCAAGATATTGCATGGATGGTTAGATGTAATTCAAATTCTTAAACAAACTATGGTGACCATTTAAGTTCGTGACATGATATAATATAATATCAATGACAATCATGAATAAGCCTCTTTTTTTAAATCGCTTTTCTAAATAAATAGCACTTATCAATGGTGGGAATGAGTAAATAAAAGAGCAAATGTAGACGTAGGCGGTAAAAAATTCCTGTCGCCCATTCCATAAGACAGGAAATAAAATATGAACAAAGATCACCCCATGAACATGAAAACTCCAAATTGATACGGCTAGAAATACATCTAAACTACACATAACACTCCTTAAGTTTTCGATAAAACGGCAAACAAAAGATAAACAAGTCTTTAACCTCAGTCTAAGCCTTCCTTTAATGGCGGAAACACAATCGTCCGATAAATGAGAAGTCAAGTCATCACAAAATTAAAGAAATCAAAAACAAGCAAATCAAAAAGAAACGTTTAATAAATATATTTGTGAAGAATTTCAGAGTAAAATACTAAAATCGATCCTTAAGAGTTCGGCTGAGTGACAACAACCATTGACCAGCTTACCAGGCGCTGTTAAAGCTGTTTTAACCAGGATTTCTAAGTAAACCAGTCGTCGAGCTGTTGGAAAGCGAGTGACAA